TCTCAAAGCACCTAGAGCTTCCATGGGGCTCCTGGTCTTATGTGTTAGGATCACTTAGATACCCTGAGGCCTGAGTCCTGGCTGCCCAAGACCCATATTCAACCTTTAGAGCAGATAGGAGCAGTTTCTCAAACCACAGGATGCTAAAGTGATACACCCTGGGCTGAGAAGGGGTGAGGCAGGGCCACAGAAAGTCCAGCGGCGATTCCTACCATCTCTGTTTTCTCTCTCTCTCCTTCCCCCCTGCCCCATTTCTTGTTGGGGATTGAATCCAAGATCTCACACATGCTAGGCAAGTGCTCTATCACTAAACTACATACCCAGCCCAATAATTTTACTTTAAATGGCATTGTCTGCCCTGACAGAACTGAGTATCCTCCTCCTCTCATGTGGAAGGCCCCACTTAGTCAGTAGTATGTGCTTAGAAGACTGTTTGGGGCTTTCTGGTTTGGCTCTCACACCTCAGAATGTTTCTGATGGGACCCTGTTGTTGGAAGGAAATGAGGTTCCTTATCCATTCATCCATTACAGCTAGGTCATCCTGCAAGTGTCTGTTCATTTAGTCCTACCCCACATCCCACCTACCCCCGGCCCTGCCTACAGTGAGCTTCTACAGTGAGATACCTGTGCTTTGAATCTGCTCTGGCCTGGGCCTGCCCTGCCACCTGCCGTTCTGCGCCTGCCAGGAGTAGGAGCCCCAGCCTTTACGGCCTACAGCTCTTCACATCTGCTCTGCTCATGCCCACCTCTTGTTGTCTGTCCTTTGTCCTGTTTCATCCTTCCTCAGGTCTCAGAGGCCTTCCTGTGTTCCCCAAGTTACTCCCTCCACCTCCCTGGGCTCTGTTCTCCTACTTATCTGCTGTTTCCGCTGGCCTAGGGGTCACTCAGAGAGAGGGCCTGACTGAAGTAGATCTGAGCATAGGGCAGGCTGTCTGAGCCCCTCAGAAGAAGATATAGCCCGAGTTCCTGGGTCTGGGATTCTAAGAGGTCAGGCCAGGTCTTTATTCTAACCTAGTGAACTGCAGTGGGCCCTGATGTGAGAAGAGGCAGCAGGGCTGGCCCTGCCTCCTACCCTCTACAAATATTTCTTGAACACCCACTATATGCTGAAGGTGCTAGGACCATCATGCCCATTTTGCAGATGAGCAAAAATGATGATGTGTCCTAGGGCTTCATCTCATGGAGCAGGTATATGCCTGCAGGTGCCTGCTACCAGCTCAGGCTGGGGCACTGGGCCAGATAGACTGGGGGAAATGTCTTATGCAGAGGCTCCATGCATGGGGACACCAGGAAGTACCAAAGCTCGGGAAACTATGGTGAGAGGTGGGGTACGGTCTTCCTTCTGTTGCCTTGAGCATTTATTAAAAGTTGAGAAGTATCTGTGCTAGACCTCAATGAAGTCAACTGTGAAATGCAGTACCATTCATGCCCCCTGGCCAGTTGGCCTTCGAGATAGCTGTTCTAGGCAATGCTATGTGGCCCTGTACCCCAGCATTCAGAGTATTCCTCTACAGCCTTGGCTCATCGAGTCCCAGGACAACTAGCAAGGCTACAGGTGATGCTTGTTTTCCTTGTGTAGAGGCTCAGAGATGTGTAGTAACCTGGCTAAAGGCACACAAAGGCTTCCTTCAAAGTCTTGGCTTCCAAGTTCCATTCAAAGAACCCCCAGGCTCTACCTGCTGGAATGGGAAGGCCTGCACCCGGTGAGATTCTTTGCATAGGGGACAGGGTCCAGTAGTCCTTTGGCTGTGGGCTCTAATGGTCATGGGCGGGTATAGGAACTGAGTTCTCCATCATGGGAAGTGTGTTAGCAGGACTACGTGAAATCATGCCTAGGAGCTCAGCACAGAGAGCTTAGTCAGAGACAGGTTCTCCCCTGTCCCCCTAGCCTAGATCCTCCCCCTGATTTGTGGGTGTAGCCATACTTCACATATCCCGACCAGTGTGGGTGGGCAGCAGCTGTGGGAGCTGACGAGAACAGCTGATTGTCTCCTCCAATGTCACGCATGCATGATGCCACATGCCATTCCTGGTGTGGCCTGCTGGGAGCAGGAGGAAGCCTGACTGTGGGCCCTCCATCCTATCTCGGAGTTCCCTCGGTCAGGCCTGAACACACTCATCACAGACAGGTCTGTGTGCAGGGTGTCCTTTCTGTCCTGACCAAATCAAAGAGGAATTGGCAACACTTAAAGTGGATAAGCCAGTACGACCAGTCCATTCTCCAGGTTGGGATACCAAGACTTAGGGAGGCCTGGAATTTGCCCAAAGTCACTCAGAATCTGAGGGACAAAGTTGGGGGTCTTTAGTGTCCACAGAGACCTCAGAGTGATTCTCGTCCACCTCCGCCCCTCCTTTATGCCCCATCTGTGATGCAGCTCAGAGTCCTGCCCCTAAGGCTGCTCAGACCTGCAGAGGTGGCATCTGCTGTTCTGCTTGTGTGGGCCCTGTGCTCATGCTTGTCTTGAAAGGTAGATGTGGGATTAGATAATGTAAATTAACAGGCAGGCGCCAAATGCCCAGCCCCCAGTGCCAAACACACTGTTTAACTATGAGCAATCTCTGGGGTTTGAGATGTTTGTCAATTTGTGCAGTGTAAATATTCCCAGTATTGCCCATTTCAGGCTACAGAACAGTGCCACAGCACTCAGACCCAGAAAAGGTGTGCATGGTGGCCTTCACAAGCCATTTCCTACTGGTGCCAGCACCTGCTGCCAGCTCCCAGCAGGGTCCCGGAAGTCCTGCTGCTCTGGGTGACAGGTGGGTTGGCACAGCTTCCCTCTGTAATTGTGAAGGCTTGGTATTGCCTCTGCTGGCTTTTGTGTCACATGAGTTGATCTGCGTTAAGGGCTCTGGGTCCAGCTACCCATGGACACGCCTGTGGCCCTAAGGGGCGGTGTGCATCTGACAGGCTGCCACACCAGCGGGTGGGGGCTGAGATGAGAGCACTGTGGCGTCTCCCTTGTGCCCTCGTTTCCTTATCTGGGAGAAGGTCCTGTGACTGTGCGCTGAGGTCGTAGAGGGCTGTGTGAGGGTGAGGTGTTAGCTCAAGGCGGTGCCTGGCAGAGGGCTCAGAAATGAGTGCGGTCACCGACACGGTGCACACCTGCAGGAAGGTTCTGAGATGACCAGGAGCAGGGGCTGTCTGGGCAGAAGTCACAGAAAGCTCCCTAGGAGGGAGAAGGAGGGGGTGGTGGTGGGATGAGGAGCACTGGGAACCTCTCCATGCCCCCGTTCGAGGGATTCCAGGGACACCTCCATCTCAGGAACTCTGGGATTTAATGCTATAGATGTTTTTTTTGGGGGGGGTACCGGGGGATTGAACAGGCAGCGGAACCACTGAATTAAATCCCCGGCTAGGAACTCTGGGATTCAAAGAGATAATTTCCGCCTTGCATGGGCACAATGATCACTGGTACTCCCTCCTTGCTCAATGAATGGTGGGGTCTTCACAGATCCTGGGAATATAGCGAGGGCATGAAAGACCATCCAGTCCCGGTCCCTGACTAGCTTGAGCTTGAGTTCTGGAGGTAGGATGCCCTGCACCTTCTAGCCTGCCCATCCTGTCCAAGCCTGGAACGGTGGAGCAAGGAGCTTCTGACGCTTCCCAGGGACAAGTGGGGTCCTCCATGGCGGACTGCCCGATGGACGGTTCTAAAGAGCTTTAGCGACCCAGTGGGCCAGAGCCAGCAGGGAGCTGCCGCAGGTGGCCCTCGCAGCCCGCAGCCAGGTGGGCGGGCCAGG